ACACACACACACACACACACACACACACACACACACACACACACATTCCACCAGTATTGAAGGCTACAGTGTGAGGAGCCACGCCCTAAGTCAGCTCAGTTCAGGGAGGGTTACTGTTGCCAATTTCTACATTTTTCATTTTTTTCTGTTAATTGTGTTTGTTTTAATTAAACCCTATGAAGACTTAAGAAAAATGATTTATAAATAAAAAATATACACACATGCTACGTAGTAGAAATCAAAACAAATAAGACCAGTGAGTTTTCTGTGTTCTGCTGCCACTGAACATAGTCCTTAGATGGAAGCCTGTTTGGTCACAAGTGATGCATTACTACACAGTTATTCTCGTGGCGGAGGGATACTCTGAACCAGGTGTGACAGCGCCAGGCTGCACCGAGTAATTAAAGARCTATGTTTGCTCCTGTTTTAGGTTGAATACAATTTTTTACCCCTCTATTTTTTTCCGTAAGACAATAAAAAAGACTTACCCAGAACCCGGACTAGAACGTCTCCGGTTACAGTAGCAGCAGACTGTAATAAGGTGACGCTATAGTCCCCGCTGTCTTCTTTCTTTAGGGAGGTCACGGTCAGGGACCCGGTGTTTGGGTCCACAGAAACCCCTCTGGTTTTGTAGGCATCACCCACATTTACAGTGTTGTCTGGACGCAAAGTAGCAATATTATTTTGATTCTTTCCATCGTTGAAATTCCAGATTACGATGTCCCCTGGGTTTTTCGTAACCGTGATTTTAATAGTCAAATTTTTCCCCAAAACTACGTCCATTGGACCCGGTGGAAGAACACTGTTCCCTGCACAGAAACCTGCAGACAAAACAAAAGCGCTTAGAMGTTGTGATCGGAAAGTACAGGCTCACAAAATCAGCCAAACTGCGCAAAAGTTTTTTTTCCCCCTGCAAACTCTGAAAAAGGATGTGTAAAATAAATAAATAAATAAAAACATTCAGGGATCTGTCAATCGTTAAGGTTTTTCAATAAATGCCACTCTGCACACAGAGGCTTACCAAGTAGAAATAAGAAAAAAAGCAACGAGTTCAAGGAGAGCAGATCCATCCTGGACGGTTCGAGTCTTCCCAGCAGAAACACAGAAGAGAACCTGCGGCAGAACCTGCTGCTTTTACAGAGAGACACACCCAGACAAGGTGTAGGCTACACACACACACACACACACACACACACACACACACACACACACACACA